CTTATTTCACCTGGACTTGTTATAATATCTGCCTCCAGATAGAAAACTTGGCTTTGTAATTATACTTCTTCTGGCCTTTTAACACAAACTCAGGAATTTTAAGTAGAACTGATCACCTGGGTATTTTTGATCTTGAAAGGCAAAAAATATGAGATGGGTGGAACAAATGTTTCCTCAAATCAGGCCATCATTTCCACATATGAATGAAACAAAGCAAAATATTGGCTGCTCTGGAAATTCCTGGGATATCAGACCAAATACCAGCTTATAGCGTATCGGAGTTTTGTAAACAAAACCTTTATTTCACTTCATGACTGGAATAGCAAGCAGTTAGACTACTACAGAACTGAAAATCATGTGTTTCATTCTTGGTAATTAATTGAAAAAGTGCACCTGCTTGTCATTGTATTATTCAACAGCCATAACCTTTGCATGGCTTTTATTAGATAGTTATAATAAATTGAACCCTGAACTTTTATGTACTCTTATAATTTGATTTTATTTCTTTATCAAGTGAAACTATGATTGTGCTAAATTCATTTGTATCATATGATTCCCAACTAGCTGCAGATAAAAAGGTGAACAGAATAATAAAATAATTATTGCACATTTTGAACCAATATCTGAACTATTTTTAGATATAATTTATTGTACTTGATTGGATTATATATTTACAAACTGTACCATATATTTCCGTCCTTTATTTATAGATAAGAAATTAGATAGGACAAGAAGAGGTAATTTGTTGTACTTTAAGACAGGGTGATAAGTTAAAAATTGTTTATACTTGTTCCAAGGAAGGGGAAATCATTTCTTTATATATTTCTTTTCTTTTACTGTGTTCTTATTCTTTTTTTTTTTTTATTTCTCTGCACTTGCTATCTTTTTCTTTTTATTGTTTTCAGGGGGAGTTAGTTTCTATTAGTTTCATCTTTGTAATTGTAATGTTTAACAAAATTACTATAAAAATGTTTGTTCTTACTTTACGCAGTACGAGTTGGATAATAGAATTTAAAACTGGCTTAACAGAATGTTCCTGAATAGTATTTTCCCAGCAACAGCAATTTTGCGATGGAAAAGTTGGTGCCTTATGAAAAATGGTTATTTGGTTCTGGAAGAACAATAACAAGAGGGGTGTTGGCAGCATATGAAAAAAAAATAAGATGGCAGCTGTGATAGCGCGATCAAAGTCCATTTTCCTTGTGATGTGTGCAGTATGCATAAAATCAGGTAGACCTTCAATTGTATGATCATGGCTGCCATCTTGATTTTTTAAAACACCGCTTAGCAACCAGGAAGCATTCCATTTCCTCTTACACAGGAAGTGACACTCAGCTGCCGGGGTTTTCTACAGTGTAACTCTATACACAATCTGAAACAAAGAAAGTGTTCCCTTTTTTAAAAAAATATATTGTAAAAATCGGCTCCAGATGTGCCAGCTAGTGATGAAAGGCATCAAACACATTTGGAGAACCCAGGTGGGAAAAGACTGTTTTGGAAGAAACAGATATAAAGACCCAAACTTCTTTTTTTAATTTAGTCAAATAGAGGTGATATAATTTGCATGATTCTTGATAAATAGTGACAGCACCATTGGTTACATGCTTTGAAATGTCCCATAAGCTACTCAAACATGAATGAAACACATCGACCCCTGCTATTTTGCCCCTTAACAAGGAGGCAGGGGCAATCGTGTACTTCGAAGTAAAGTCACCTTGCCTTAAGTGGATCCTTGTGATCTACCTAGCAAGAATCGTCTCAATTCACAAGCAGTGTCATTTCACATACAGAAGCCAGCAGGAGTTTTTATTTTCCATTTACATCCTGTGGATTTTCAGAATGGGGCGTAGAGAATGCATTGTTTGGTAATGCATACTACAAAGTGCAAGCGGCTGTGAGGTGAAGTACAGCATAAATTCAGCTGTCCCCTGAAATAAAAGGAGAAAAAAGTTCGGTTCTTTATAATGAAATTCTGTCTGGAAGTGGCTGTCCTCTGTCTGTCTGTCTGTTTATCTATATTTAATCTATCCATCTACTTATCTACTTATCTGTTACCAGTTTCCCCTTCTTCCTTGCATGAAGATGATGTTTAGAGACTAAGCAGACATTTTAAGATAGAATCCTCAATCATTTCTCAAAAGTTGAAAGACCAGCCCCATTCACACTCAAGATTGGGGTTTTTTCAAGTGAATGTATAACAACTATTCTACTCCTGGATTTTTAAAGGGCCAAATTCCCATTTCATCCCTTATAAGAAAGATGACCTGTCCTGAGTCTCATCGTGCCTGTGGCTCTGAATTATCTTGGAATAGGAGTGTCAAACTCACGGCATCATGTGACATATTGGGACTTCCCCCCCCCCTTTGCTAAACCGGGAATGGGCATGGCCAGCGTGTGATGCATCCAGCCTGCGGGTCACGAGTTTGACAGCCCTGTCTTAGAAAGTCCATTGTATTTGTAATATTAAGTTACAGGTATAAGAATACTTGGGAAAAAAGCAAGTTGTAAAGAAAGATAAATAGATATTTTTTTTCCAGCCCATCATATATCTATTTTTTAGAAGATCATTTACATTTTTCAGAAAAAGGTATGCAGAGTTTTGCTGGAAGCAAAAGACGATAACATTTCAGATATATATTATAGCAACATGTCCTCCACCCTTAAAATGATGTCATTATTTTGTGAAACAGATCTTGGAATTATTTGAATCACATACTATTAAAAATGTAATAAATTAAGCTAGTTCCTATTTTCATAATGTACTGTATTACAGAGCAGTATTTAGGCTAATATAAGTAGTTCCTTTCTTATTTATGACAAGCTGATGTGATTTCAGCCAAAAACTTTTCTGAGCTTTTGGTTATTTCTAAAACCATTATGTGATTTTCTCACATAAAAAGTTCAGCTAGTTATAACAGGAACATTAAAAAATTATATCAAAGTTGTGATATAGAATTTGTGGGATTTGTTTATTAGGTTAGAGTTTGCGTTAATAGAGTATTGATTTTTTTTTATTAATGGATATGAGTGAAATATTATCTTTGACATTAGATATTAAGTGAACACTTCCTCTTTTATATCACTTCCCCATCCATAGTAAGGTTCACAAAGTCATAAAAGCAGAAGTTTCCAAGATAATGTTTGAAAACGTTTCATTTAAGTAGAAGCAAAAGGCAACTTATTTGATTTGTCTGATGGAATGCCGAGAAATTGTACTCTGTATTTTTTAAGTCATTCTCTCTGGTTAGCAGAACTTTTTAAATTAGGCATTCATGGGAGAGTTTGAGCTTTTGGAGACTTCGCTTTTCTTCAACATCTACATCTACAACCCTGGATTTGAGGTGATCAAATAGAGAGAGGAAATTTGTTGTAGTGGTTAAGGATCAGGGTGGTAATCAGGACGCCAGGAATCCTAGTCCTGCCTTATGTATGAACCCAACTGGGTGACTTTGCACCAATCGCTCTCTTTTTCTCAACTCTTGGAAGGAGGCAATGGCAAATCACACCTCATATCTTGCCCCCCAAAATAGTAGGAGTTGTCCATGCAGTTGCCAAGAGTCAACACTGACTCCAAGGCACCAAAAAAAATTTAATATCCTGATGATAACCAGTGACATAACTTTTGTTCGACATCAGCGGTGATATAGTGGAAGTCTTGACTCAGTGCCTGGATCTATGAAAGAGTAGGTGGGGATAGAACGTCCTTGTATCCTAGCAAGACAGAATTATTTTTCTACAGAGGCTTTGAGGTGCCAAGGTGGCTCCTTAAATTGCTCTTGATTCCTCTTACTTCTTTGAAGGAGTAAATACAAATATAGAGCATATTCAAATATTTACTCCTTTAAAAAAGAACTTTTGAGCAGCTTCATCTGGTCCAACTGTTCTGATCTTTTCTTGACCAGCACTTGCTGAACACATCATAAATAAATGAACAAAATGATTTTCAATCTGTAAATAATACTAAATGTTTAAATTAGTTCAACATTTCCACCTTTTTCTTGAAAATACCCATTTTTCCTCACTGAAAAAAATAATGTATCCTATATTTAAATAATTAAATATTTAATAAAGACTGCTAGCATGAGATCCCAAGTAAATGCATATTATTATTATTATTATTATTATTATTATTATTATTATTATTATTATTATTATTATTATTATTATTATTATTATTATTATAGCTGGTCACACAATCAGTCAGATGTTTCGATTGGATTTGGCATTTTTGTTCCCCTGTCGAGTCTTACCTAAGGATCTAGTTTAATTAATTACTTAATTTAAATTATTATTATTTATTTCACTTATATAGCCTCCCATCTGACTTAGATGTCTCTGGGTGACTTACAATAAAATCAATAAAACAAATATAACACACACACACACACACACACATAACAGAAGTCAAGCATTATAAAGCCCTCAATAAAGCCAACCTGTATCCTACATCTAGTCTTCCACCTTGCTAGCTTAATTAACCTCACATTTTTTTGTATCAAACATACATGCACATCCTTTGGCATTTTGAAATGCTATCCAAAGCTTTGTGTTATCTTCCATGTGAAGCCTGAGAAACCAAATATTCAACGGGAACAAATCATTCGGGCTATCTTCTTTCCAATTAATATCATGCATGTTTTAGTCACATACTATTTTTTGCATTTTTAATACCCATGTTCCTTTTCTACTTTAAACATGAATTTTGAAAGATATGTCAATTTATGCCAGAGGTCTCCAACCTTGGCAACTTTAAGACTTGTGGATTCAACTCCCAGAATTCTCCAGCCAGTTATGAATTCTGGGAATTGAAGTCCACAAGTCTTCAAGTTGCCACGTTGGGGACCCCTGGTTTATGGAAACATATTGGTGGTGTTGGCAGACTTAACATATGCATATATTGATGGGCCTTAAGTAACTTCTTCCTTTTTGATACATAAACCACTGATTTAAATATTTAAATGTGTTTTCTTCAAAGCGTCTTTTCTTTCTCTTTTCTCTAGGCGGTTTTGAGTCCACTCATTGCCATTGCACTGAAAATATCTCAGATTCATGAGAGGACAGGTCGTAAGGGTCCCACTGTCATCACCTGAAGGAGAATTGCTGACTGAGGGCCAAACTCTCGGGCGGACAAGGAAAAATGAAGACAGTGCTCAAACGCACCAGTTCTTTGTGCCTTATATTAGCTTAAGGGCTTGGGGGCAGTTGGGCGGGAGGTGGGTGGACAAAATTTATTTTGAGTTTCATTCTTAAGAAAAATGTGCACTTGTCTCTTATAGGCTTCAGCGTCTTCTTGTGTTGCAAATGATCAAAACCAGGGCTGTCTGAGTAATACCAAGATTTGTTTATAAGAGATGATTTAAAAAAAGATTCCTGTGTTTTGCATTTGCAAGGTGAAAATAGGCTACATGTTTCCTTAGCTAGAGCTGGCTGCAAAACATAGATTTTTGATAATAGTGTTTTATGAATCACCCATCGTAATTTAAAAAGAAAGCACTCTTAATGATAGTCAAGGACATTTTTAAAATCTCAAAAACAAGATATTATTCTTAGGTTACCTTATTTTCTAAACCCATCGGGGAGTTATGATGGATTGATTTTGAATTAAAATATAACAGGGCTCTTATTTCAGATGGTCGAAGTCCCAGAAGAACAACCTAGAACAAGGGTCTTCAAACTTGGCAAGTTTAAAACTTGTGGACTTCAACTCCCAGAATTCTTGAACTAACATGACTGGGGGAGGGATTATGGGAGTTGAAGTCCACAAGTCTTAAAGCTGTCAAGTTTGAAGACCCCTGGCCTAGAATGTCGGCAACTTTGTCCTTTTCTTGGGCTGTGACAAAGTGTTTGTGTAATACAATGAACCATAAACTAGCCAATCACATTTTAGCCTAGTGGCTTCGTCACCCTGGTCTGTGTGGTTAATTTATGGTTCAATGATTTTTTTACAAATTTGGATTTATTAAGTAAACTATGAGTTAAGGATGGGTAGGTTCATGTCATGTGAACATTGCCATTTAATCCAAAGGGAGCAGCACATGAGAAGAATCTGCAGGTGGGGCTATTCTAATCAATGAGATCACAAATATATGTAGCCCAGAAGATTTATTTGCAAATAGGTTCCCCTGAGCGACAAAAACAATGTAATCTTCCATAACTGTGCCTAATTCTGCAGCTTTATCCTGAGATTTTACTTAACTGATTATTTTTTTTCAAAGTATACTGGCAACTGCCACTCCTAATTTCTCAGCTCAAGTTTTAATGACTACATTTTTATGCACCAGTGCTACATTTATACACACTTTATGTAACTAAATCTTACATATTTAAATGGAAAAATGAGAAGTTACCTTGCAGCAATCTGTTTGGCAAACAGCTTTCATGTTTTGTTCATGTCTGCTGTTACTCATAAATACCATCTCCAGCATAACCGATTTGTATGTGTGGTCTCTCTGCTTGTAGCTTACAAATGGGACTGCTTTTTTCTACTTATTTCCTAAGCCACCTTCTATTCAGATTCAGTTCTACACAGCTTCAGTTTTAAGGAAAATACCTTTTGCTATGAGCTGATGATTTGTATTCTGGATTTATCTCCTACTCTGGAGCTATCTTGACAATGATCCCTCTCCTTTTGTTATCCGTTTCTTTTTTTAGAAGTAAATCTTTAGGGTATTTCCCTCTCACTCTCTTGTGCATGTTCACTATCACTCTCTCATACACAAATATTTAATTAAAATTAATTTAATTCAAAATCTTTAAAAGATACATTTCAAGATATATTTATGTTCCATTTTTTAAAAGAGCTACAGATCACAGCAGAGCTCTAACTTTTATGCAGATGGACCAGCTAATTCTTTAAAAACAAACACCAAACACCATTCCTCTTCTACAGCCAATACCCAGATAAGCAGGAATTAATACCAGACAAACAATCCAGCAGAAAACAATATCCTAATCAAGTAAATACCAAGCAGAAAACCACATCCCCACCAACCCTGGCAGGGCAAGTTACTATCTATGAACAGGCAGAAAACCCACATTCACTGATGGATGATGGTGATCATAATGTTATTTATTTGGGTAATGAAATGTCTGCAAGCAAACAGAGGACCAAGGACCCCACAAACGTATGAATTTGGATAAGGTGGAGGAAATGGGCCTGTGTGTGGTGTGTTCCATTGTTGTGCACTGATTTATAATCATAATTCAGAAAGTTGGAAGTGCTGTTTGGTTATTGCAAATGTGTGGCAATTGAATCTCACATTTAGTGATATAGGTGACATAATCTGTATGCCCCTACATAAAGTACTTGGAGATCCATTGTGGAGTTTAATTCTTTTGTATGAGAACATGACTTGACAAACTAGGATTCTGCTTCTGAATCAATCCCCACATAACATCAAAATATTTACATGTTATGTTGGAAGTGTAAGATTCCTGCTTCTATATACTCCTTATCAACATCTCTGAAACTATATCAGAAACCATTTTTTAAAGAACCATCTCTCCTTTACAGCAGATAATTTCCTCAACTTTGAAAGTGGGATTTTGGATCTTTTCAAACCAAAGCAATGGAAAATCTGGGTCTAATCTAAAACAAAGGTGCCATGCTGGCTAGGAAATTTTTAAGAGTTGAAGTCTACATGTCTTAAAGTAGCCAAGGTTCGGCATCCCTGCTCTAAAACCTCAAATGGTAGAAGAGAGCTTAAAAAAGGAAAGCAGGAAGGCAGTGGAAACAGCTGGCATTAGAATTAAAATGTACTGTTTTGCATAACTCTGGACAAAGGAATTACAATTCCATTTTCCAAGTAATTTATTTTAACCAAGAGACAGGGCTTTGGGAGGCATGAGAGTGTATGGAGCTGAAGAGAGGAATTTTCCCAACTAAAACACCATCTAGATCAGAGTATCAAACTGGCGGCCCGCAATTCGGATGCATCATGTGCAGACCACGCTCATTCCAGCTCCGTGAAGGTGGGAAATGTGACAGCAATGTGACGCCACAAGTTTGTCACCCGCAATCTACAGTAGGTTGTTAGTGGAACTGTAATAGACGTTCTAGAAATATTTGCCTAGTTCACTTAATGAAAAGCTTGCCCAATGTCTTACTAAAAAGTCAGGGAATAATATGGCAGAGGAAGGAGGCTTGCTCAGTGAATGCTGGGATATGGAAAAGTGTTTTTGAGTTTGTAAAAACACGAGTGGCCAACTTTGACAACTTTAAGACTCGTAGACTTCAACTGCCAGAATGCTGACTGGGGATTTCTGGGAGTTGAAATCTATACGTCTTCAAAGTTGTCGAGTTTGGATAACTCTGCTGTAGAATGAGAACATGGTGTAACTGTTTGTCAGGCATTACAATGGCTTTTGTGCAATCTGAAATGTTCATAGACTGGTAACACCACAATGGCAAACCTTCATTTCTAGTGCACTCTTGAATGCTGCTGTGTTTTAAGTAGCTGACTTAGATTCTTTTGGTATTTGTCAAAACTTACTATGACGTTTAATAAACTGCTGTGTCCTATTTGCTTTGCATGAAATTGCTGATGGAACACAGCTGGCTCCAATGCAACAGTTTTTTTTAAAGCTGTGTCTAGGTAAATGAGGCACTGATTTATCTTTGCACAGTGTTTTATTGCAGTATTATTAAACAGATTTTTTTGTAAGTCAAATACTTTTGTTCTGTTTTATATAATGTTACACAGTATATATAATCTTGTGGCTGCCCACAGCTACAAGTAGCTAGTTTGGTTTATTTCGTGCTGGCCTTTCATAAGAGGTATAAAGTTTTGCTGGAGGGTTTACTGTATGGAGCAAGCTAAAAGCTGAACGCAATTTAAGAGATCTTCATAAATGAAATGCAACTTCTGAATTAAAATGCACACATGTAGTCATGGGTTTTGAAGTCATTGATACTGATTAGAGCCGAGCCAATGCATGAAAAAGGAATGGAGAGATATTAACTTTTGTTTTTATTTTGTTACAAACGCGTGGCCTCCATATCAGCAGATGGCAGCAGTTTCCCTGATCTCAGATTCAGTGAAATCTCAAGGCTGTAGACTAGATTGTGAAATTGCAAAACCATCCAAGAGACAGAAAAAAACCACTTCTAATTTGCTGCCAAGAAAACTACAACGACTTCTCCATGAGTCAAGTTTGGTTGCCATGATATAAAGACGGTATTGAGACTCTGGAAAGAGTGCAGAGGAGAGCAACAAAAGATGATTAGCAGCGGCTGGGATGGTTGCAGGAACTGAGTAGGTCTAGTTTCATGAAAAGAAGGATTAGCGTGACATGATAGCAGCATTCCAATATTTGAGGGGCTGCCAAGAAGAAAGAGGGTTGGTGGGGTCAACTTATTATCCAAAGCTCCTGAAGGCAGGACAAGAAGCAATGGATGGAAACTAATCAAGGTGAGAACCAGCCTAGAAATAAGGATACATTTCATGAGTGATAACAGTGAATCAGTGGAACAGCTTGCCTTCAGAAGTGGATGCTGCATCAGTGGAGGGTTTTAAAAAAAGAAATTGGTTAGCCATTTATCCAGAATGCTATAGGGTCTCTTGCTTGAGCAAGAGTTGGATTAGAAGACCTCCAAGGTCCCTTCCAACTCCATTGTTCTGTTAAGCTCAATTCAGGTTTTTTTTTTTCCTTTCTAAAGTTAACCATATCCAGTTTCCCCAAGACATCATTTCCAGCTCCCTGGTTGTATTTGTTGTCTTCTGAATTAGTTCCAAACTGATAGTTTAGATCACAGAACAAGATCTCACTTGGAAGTGCGTTCTTTTCACTATTGTAGAAACAATATTTGACTACTATCCTTCACATGGGATAAATCACTTCATTAAAAGAAGTACTTAAGTACCATCTTAAACTTGTCATGAAAATAGGAGCTAAGTTAATATTGAATACAGATTCACAAAATTGTTTTGCTCTTGTGGATTACCCTAAACATAAGACAGTGCCTTAGAGTATTAGGTTTTTCCTTGACATCTCGATAGGCAGATACTTACCATGAAATAAGAATTGGGGTTTTGTTTTCTGACCTACAGAAATGGGGAGAAATGTCCCCGTTTTGGAATTCAGTACAAAATAGTGGGTTAACCTTGCCATATACAAACTCAAGACCTGATTGTTGTACAGTACAAAGGAGGAATGGAGGAATTAGAAGAAAAGGTTACCAAGACACTTCGTTCCTTCTTGTTTTGTAGGACAGAAACAAACAAATGCACATTTATTCTCCCCAATAATTGCTAATTGTTTCTCAAAATGTATTTCATTACAAATCTTTATTACAAAAAAACTACAATGCAGCATTAAACAATGTAAACTGGTTAGCCTCAGAATAGAAAAAGTTACTATAACCAACAAATGTCAACTATTAGGTGATTCATTAGATTTCAGCCTTCAATGCTAATGGATAACAAAAAGAACTGCTGCTAAAATTCCAAGATATTTTTTAAAATTACATATATGGAAGACATTCCAATGCTAATTATCTTACTGCAATTGTCTAAACCTCTAACATTTGAGTTGGCTATTTTTTCAATGGGCTATCTTTATTGTACTAAGATACTCCCTCCTCTCAAAAGTAATGAGAGGAGTAAAGATGATTAAATAGGGATACATAATGAAAAATAATTTATTGCAATATTGATACAATTATTTTTTTTAAGAAAGAATAAATATTAAATTAAGAACACAATCTATTTTATCCAGAATATGCTTTGTCTTCATATTTTTGTGTGATTGCGGGCTCCATTGTAACTTAGTTTCCTGTATCCCAGATACTGCGCAATAGTAGCACAATAATTCAAACATGGAAACAACAATGCAAGACCAAACTACAACTCAGATAAGATGTTTAAATTCAATTTCAATGAAATGGTAAAAGTTAAAATCAAAGGGTTTTTTAAATACTCAAACTGTAGAATAGGAACTGGTAAATCAAATCTTTGGTCATTTCGGCTGGACCTGTTCATCTCTTGGTGCAGAGAAAAGCTTGCAGAACACTAAAAGAGCGTAGGAGTTTAATTTTGGAAAGTGCCTTTCATCTCCCTTATGAATGCCAAAAATAGGATATTTACAGTAACATAACCTTCTCCAGTCTGGTGCTCTTCTGATGTGTTGAACTTCAGTTCCCAAAAGACTGTGCACGTCTGACAGAGTGTGGAAGTTGAAGTCAAACACACGTGAAAGGCACTGAATTGATGAAAGCTAATGTAACTGTCCCGGCTTTGTTGTACCTATATTTTCCATGTTCCTCGCTAAGTTGAAGCTTTAAATTTCTTCATTTACTCATTGCCTCTTGCCATGCCTGCTGCTATTCAGAAGATAGCACGGGCTACTGCAAGCATTGCTTAATACAGGCAGAATACAACTTTTGTAAGATCCTCAAGAAGACTCCGTTGTTTTCATCCATCAACCAACAATGTTGGGCTGAATTCATCATCATTCCTAAAACCAGCAACGCCTGTGGCTTATTCCTGTCACAAAGACCATGTTATTTCTGACTCAACCTTTCTGAATGCCACTGAATGCTCCCTCATCTGTGCCCAGTGCCTGATAATGGAACCACACTGTCCTTTCCGCACCAAGGCTTTACACACAATGCCTAAACATTGTCTGTGTCCCAGAAGAACAGACATGGCTTATCTTCTCCAGTCCTTGGACAGCCCATCTTCTTAGCCATTGCTCTATGGCTGAGGTGCGTCAGAAGCCTCTCCAAATGTTGGGTCGTTTCCTGTGGCTCGTTGCTGCACAGAGACTTCATAGGAAGGTGGCTGTTGCTCCTGAGCACTGGTTTCCTCAATGAATTCGAAGCAGCTTTTTGTGTACAAAGGTGGAGGTATGTTATAAGCATAGTTCTTTGGCTCCAGTGAGCAGGCTGGGAGTGAGAATGTCTGCTTTCCCAGAGCGGTACTCTCTTCGTAAGAGGGTGGGTAGAAATCAGGCCTGCAAAAGACAGCCAAGACAAGAAACCCGTATTATTTAAGAGAGCAGTATTAGAAATTAGGGACGCAGTGGCTCAGTGGCTAAGACGCTGAGCTTGTCGATCAGAAAGGTCGGCAGTTCACGGTTCGAATCCCTAGCACCTCGTAACGGAGTAAGCTCCCGTTACTGGTCCCAGCTTCTGCCAACCTAGCAGTTCGAAAGCATGTGAAAATGCAAGTGCAAAAATAGGGACCACTTTGGTGGGAAGGTAACAGCATTCCGTGCACCTTCGGCGTTTAGTCATGCTGGCCACATGACCATGGAGATGTCTTCGGACAGCGCTGGCTCTTTGGTTTTGTAAAGGAGATGAGCACTGCCCCCTAGAGCTGGAAACGACTAGCACATTTGTGCAAGGGGAATCTTTACCTTTAGCTTATTAGAAATTATCCCATATTGGTTTATAAATTATACAATCCTGGGCTTTTTTTGTTTTACTCTTTACAACGACCCTTCTCTTCCTACTTCAGGGGGAAAAATTGACCCTCTGAATCATTTCATTACCTCAAGAACAACAAAAAAAGGCTTTCAGATAGTGAATGTGCTGTCCAGACAGTTTAGAGTTAATGGGATTTGGATAGTTAGGTAGCAATTGTGAGCTGTCCCCTTAAGGGAATGCATCATGGTAAATGTAGTTAAGGTATCCTGGGAAATGTAGTCCATATCATGTGACCACATCTGTAATCCTGATTGATCACTAAATTGACCCTCAATAGGTAGGAGGAGTTATCCTCACTCTTGGCTGAACTCACGGACTCGTGGTAACTGTTCTACTTCTATCGCCACGAGATGAGAGAAAAAGATAGAAGATAATCATCTTTTTACCTACAAGACAGATATGCAAAGGATTGGTCATTAAAGAAGAACTTCATCACAAATGTGAGTTATGAGGATACCTGATGAACCAATAAATGTACTTTGTTATGGACATCTTGTTGAGTTTATCTATCTGCATCTGTACAGAAGACAAATCCACCACTGTACAAAATACAGAACACTGAAGTTCCAAGAAAATTGGGAGAAAAGAGGTTTGGATGGTTATTTTGCCTTACAAGCATCAGAGTTTGTTTGTTTGTTTGTTTGTTTGTTTGCCAGTATTTGTTTAAAACAAAAACATTCAAATCAACAATCATAGAAACATACAAATAAAAGCATTAAAAATAAAAGCATGAACACCAGATTGGAAAGGAGGGAGCCAGACACACCTGGTTTGGGTGGGGTGTGTGTGGATACATGGGATTGTTTGAATTAGTCAACCACTTCCAATAAGAAGCTCCCCCATTGGGTCCCCAAGCCCTGTGGCAGGGCCAGGGCTTAAGGCTCCTATGAAAAGTCAGGAAGTGGGAGCCAGGCTCACCTCAGGGGATAAGCTCTTCCTATTTAACAACATTTTTCCTTTCAGGATGCTGGTGTAGTCCTCGATTTACATTTAGTGACTGTTACAACAGCACTGAAAAAAGTGACTTAGGATCATTTTTTTCACACTTATGACCATTGCAACATCACCCGTGGTCACATAATCAAAATTCATATGCTTGGCAACTGACATTTATGACAGTTACAGGGTCCCAGAGTCCCTTCGCCACCTTCTGACAAGCAAAGTTAGTGGGGAACGCAGATTTTCTAACTGACCATATCACTAACTTAAGAACTGCAGCGATTCACTTAACAATTATGGCAAGAAAGGTCGTAAAATGGAGCAAAACTCACTTAATGACTGTTTTGCTTAATTTCCATAGAAATTTTGGGCTGAATAGACTAGACGAGAGTAGAGTAGAGTAGAGTAGAGTAGAGTAGAGTAGAGTAGAGTAGAGTAGAATAGAATAGAATAGAATAGAATAGAATAGAATAGAATAGAATAGAATAGAATAGAATAGAATACCTTTATTGTCATTGCATTCTACAAATACAATGAAAATTGTGGTCGTTAAGTCGAGGATTACCTGTATTCTGTAATGGCAATATGATGAGGCACATCCAAGGAAAAGTGAACTTGATTAATACTGAATAGTTTACGTGCCAGTCTTCCATTAATTCCCCTGGTGTTTGAACAAAAATTATGTACGTGTATTCTGTCTAAAAGTGTTCCTAAATTTACTTCCTAATGAGGCTATGGTGTCTTCCAAAGTGTGACATTTTTTCTGGTTATCTAAGCAAGGTTTGCACGCTGTCATATTTATAGAGCTGTCGCTTTGCCGATTGTGAGTGTTTATGGCACTGTTACCATAACAGAATAAGAAATGACTGTTGTATCTGTAGCCCTCTAACAAGGCTTGCCAGTATAAAGGCTTGACTTCCAGAGAAATCTATTGTGAATGTATCAGTCTCGTTGCAGAATGGCCCAGAATATGACTGTGAGGATTTAAACTGAAAATAAGCAGGCAACTGCATACCACTTCAACACATACTGGCCATGATTGAAACTATCAGCTGTCTTTAAAAAATGAATGTGTTCTTGACTTTTTGGAAAAATATTGTAGAGCCACAAATACCGATAAAACTGAGGCATGCCATGTACAGCATGCTTAAAGGCTCTGATTTGAATCCAGAATGTATAATGTCCAAGACTTGTTATGAATTCTCAAGATGGTGATCAGTTCATTGACAGTGCATGTTTCTTACATGATTTCAAGCGACCCCACAGAAATTTGGACAAAGATACACATTACTTGCTTTAGAAGTATTGTTATGCTGCTCTTCCTTAAAAGTTTAAAACCACTGGAAAGAATAGCCTATATATCAGTGTTTGCTCAACCTTGGCAACTTTAGAATGTGTTAACTTCAACTCCCAGAATTCTTGCTGGGGAATTCTGGGAGTTGAAGTCCACACATCCTAAAGTTGCCAAGGTTGAGAAACACTTGTCTAGGTTGAAAAGAGATGATTCAATCGAGGCCCTCTAATGGCTCAAGCAGGAAAATGCATTTAGTTTTGCTGCATCCATATCTAGCACTAAACTGGATTTTTGCACGATAGACCACTGCATGTGATCTAGAATGGTCAATAAAATCTAGTAAGCAGTTCAGTAAGGATCAAATTAGTTTTAGAAATATAAAGAAAGCAGAATAAATCACCAATTCTTAATCTAGTTCTTCCTAGATGGGTTAGATCATGGCACTGGCAAACTTAGAGAATTTAAGGCTGAGGAAAAGTTATTATGATAGCTGTACAGAACTATCATCTGATTACTCATAGAAGGAAGAGTACAGATTTAAAATAGGAATTATAATATAGAAAAAGGAAAAGATTATGAGGGAAACAAGGGAATGAAAATGCTATTGACAGACAGGAGAAATGTTGTGGAATCTATTCGGTTAGATTCAAACTAAGTCACCTCTCCTTAGTACCTACTAAATCAATGGGATTTAAGTTTAAAATGGCTTAGTTTATTTCAAGAGGACTTAACAAAACTCATTTAATCCCAGTCTCCCTTAGAGGAAGCAGATGAGGGGGGTAGTTTTCCCAGACTGCTATGGGCCTCAATACTTAGAGAGAACAAGGTGCAAACCTTAAATGTTAGGTAGGAAACCAACCAGTAAAGTATATATGCGTTCCATTCCAACTCATGATCTTTCCATTTATAGCCTGGTGCCTTAATACAAACACAACTGGCTCTCAGTATGGTTATAAAATTTGATAAGCTTTTTTTTTTTTACTAGATTATGATATAAAAGTAAACGAATGAAAACAGGGTATTTAAAATATGATGTTGAACAACTATATGTATAGAGAATTTTCTTTACAACTGGCTGGCAAAAAATAATAAACAATTACCGGATATTATCAAAGAGCAGTTAGAATTGAAGCAATACATTATCTTGAGGCAATTAACTTGGCAGGGCACCATTTAAGAAAGAGCTATGTTTATATAGCATGTATAATTAGTGAGTCATTACCAGGAAGAAAAACAAGAACTTAAACTAAGCAAATTCAGAGCAGAGAATTAAGATGAAAAAGGAACGTATATCTGGGCCAGCTGATGGCTTGCAATAGTCAACACATACCTATCTATGGTCGTGATGTGACTTTCTTCAAGTCTAGGACTCCCATGTATAATGCTATGGAACAAGCTGTTGTGCTTGCTGGCTTCATGATAGGTGCTCCAGAAGATCCCAGCAATGAGAAAGAAGAATCCTAACGGTAGAAGAAAATACGCAAGCGGCAAACTGTTGCACTTACACGCAGAAGCGCTTGTAGAGATGCAAAAGGCTCCTAAACAAATAGTTACAAAGCCAAGTATTAGCACAAGCAAGCGGACAAACGAGAAAAAGTTCTTAGACATCCTTGCTCTTAATCTCAGCATGCTCTGGTTGAACAATTTCTCCTTCTCTCTGCCCAGATTTTATATGACCAGAAACTGATTGTCCTTTGGACACGTGTTAAGGTACCCATTAACCATTTAAAGCAGTCATAGTATCTCAGGAGATTAACTTATAATCAAAACACTGGCAAAGAAGAGACAAAAATACTTCCTGTATTGTTTAATTGCCAACATAAACTCAGCAAACCCTTGTTGCCTTATCTGCAAGATTCTTCTCAGCCTTCCTTCCACCTATTTGTTCCAAAGGTATAAAGTGGTTCTTGGCTTATTAAAAATAAGTTTAAAAAAAAAAAAAAAACTTGTGAGCCTTAATGCTCTGTTCAGTGGACAAGAAAGATTAACTGTTCATCTTTGATTATATGTATTGATTTTCAAGTGGGAGCTATTTTGACTGTCCTTGATTGATCATTTCTTATTTTAACATATTCAGCATCAGTCCCATGGCTGATAAGCAGTTCTACCATTAGGCAAGCTACATCTGGATGTTTTTGTACTGCAGGTTAAATGCAGGGGCAATTTGCTATAGGGGCAGTTTGCTGTCTTGCCACAAATTCCCACAGCACTTTTTAGGGTACCAGGCATAAATAAAATTTGGCTGGAAATAATGGCAAAGGACAGAGAGAAGAAGAACAAAAATTTCTGCAAGTGTTCTCGGATGATAGTTCCGACAATTATCAAGCAAAAGGCATTCCACAACCATTGAATCTTATAACAACAACAAACAAGGTGGTGATGGGGATTAATAAGTATATTCCGAATGGAATCACTCTCTATATAATATCCCAAGAAGGAAACAGGATAAGAGCATCTCGTAATCTTATCTGAAAGCACCCATCTGTAACAATAAAATCTTGTCCTTGCTATGAATTATTTCATTTCTGCTATAGTTGCACACGCAATGCAACCAACACCTTCTATGCTTTCCATCGTAATTTGCAGCTGGGATTGCCTATATAGATCCTTGAACGCGGATCACGTCCAAGGGAGATATTTTAGTATGTGGTCCTCCTTGCGTAAACCAGAAAGCAAGTATTATCTGCTTTATGAGACACTTGGGAAGGAATCAAGGGCACTGAATGACAAGAACAAATACCACCCAACCGCCAGTGACATCATGACCTGTAATACATCAACTTTGTCCTAGTTCTGCCTGGACTGACTTCACGACTGTCATCTCTCTCTCTCTCTCTTCTCTTTACTAAAACAGTGACAGAATCCCCTGCTGTAACATTGTCAAGGATCCTGGAAAATGCTATGTTTTCCAAGAGCAATAAGCTTACTGAAAGAAGAGAGCTTTTAGTGATGTCAGTGGAGAAATGCCTTCCTCCAATCGGCAGTCTGTACGGTTAGGCATTTATGTCTCCCGCAGTGGGAATGTCAGTTAAAAGAAGGTATAACATAACAGAAAGAGTGAAAATTTCATTTGTGAAAAAGCTGAGCTGTAAAGATAAAGCAAAAGTGGGGTTATTTTTAAAGCCTTAACGTGGGCTCACTTAATATTCAGACTCTTCGATTATCAATCCTTTTAGTCCAATACAAGACTAGAATTCTTAGTCCTCCAAATTCTGCTGTTGGATGCTTGGATAGAGATAGAAAGATAATCATTGGTAGGGCATGCTTAACCTTCCTTGGCTTTCTATTTTTTCCCCCTTTCAACCCCTGTTCTATAGAAACATTTCCCTACAGCAGTTCTCCTAGATCAACACTCATGCTGAAAACAAGGCTTAGTTAGTTGGATCAGGCTTCCCTCCAAAAGCAGGGGTACATACAGGAATATAATATAAGACCAACCATTTTAAAATCAAGTTTGTTGAAGGAGACATAATAAGCTGGTCCTGACAAACCCATAATGGATAGGTTCACGCAATAAATGGGGGGCGTGAAACCCCTATATGTCACCTTAACAAGATGTAAACTAGGAAAACTCAGTCAGATGGTGGGTTTTAAGACAAAAAGGATGCAAACAAGAAGGTCAGCAGCAGGTGAAAGTCAACATTCAAGGCAGCATCCAGAGATCAAACTGCAGATACAACTTTCACACCCGAGAAAAGAAATGCGGAAGGAAGTAATAAAGCCTAATATTTCATAGGGCAGAAACTGGCTTATAGATAAACTTCGCAAGTCAAAATAGTTGGCTTTGCAAGGGGAATACTGCCAGTGCAGAACATAAGGTGATGAAACTGAGCAGCTGGTGAAGTCAATGCATCATCCATATAGAAAAGTGAGATATCAACAGGAACAGGGGAAATCCCAACATTTTAGAAACGTGAAGTATTTATCTGTCAGATTTTCAAAAGCATTCATAAGACCTGGCTCTATTTACCAGTTATTAAATGCTTATTGGCTGGTAGGGGGGGAAAGGAAGAATGAAATGGTATATTACAGCTTCTTCTTTATCTCTCTGTGTGTATATGTGGGTGTCGCTACTCCTTAGGACCTGAAGGTTCATATAGGATAAGGGTGGGCAACTATGGTGACCTGTGGACTTCAACTCCCAGAATTCTTGAGGCAGCATGGGATTCTGGGAGTTGAAATCCACAGGTTGTAAACTTGCCATATTTGTCCACCCTTGATGTCAGAGGAGAAAGTCCCTCAGGCGATTTCTTTCAAATTCTTAGGATGAAGTGACAGCTTCCAACCAGCACTGTGACTTGAGTTCCCCCTGTTTGAAAAGTGTCCTTGATATTTTGGTTTCCACTCTTCCTTACTGGCCACAAGATAACTTTTGCAACAAGAGAAGTATTGAAGCTTTGGAACTATTTTTGCGTTGAGTTGGCTTGATAAGATGCCCAAAGTTTCTCAAAGGTTGAGTTAGATCACCTTAAATAAAACTTTCAAGGGCCATGCAGACAGGCAACATAGATTGTTTTCTATCAATGGGGCACTCAGTTATTGTAAGGGAATGGAATACTCCTATATAAGTTGAAATAAAGATGTCCCTTTAATTAAATTGCAGTACATCAATTCACACCAAAGGGAATCCAAGCCTTCCTTCCTTTCACCACTGAACTTAGAGATAAACTTGTCTGGATATTTGTAATGGAATTTCATTTATCAAAAGAGCATGATGTATTTTTTTCCTATTCAGATTCCTGATAAGAGTGAACTTGGTGAGCTCTCTGACTCATCACTTGAAATGGCTCATTAAAAAAAAACACTGTTCTAAGTTTCATTGTGAATTTCTCAAGTTATTGACTTAGCAGTGTAAATTGTACTCAAGGTTGTTTTATGAATATAACAGGTGACATGGCAGCTAGTCCATCCCATGGCAGCTCGTCCATCCGGTGCCTGCCCCAACCAAACTACCTGGTTCTCCATACTGTTGAAGATCTTAAGTGGACTATAGGATCTCCATAGGATAAAAGACAATTTACAGCCAATGTGGTCTCATATATCAAGCAATCAAATGACTCTTTTTCCATCTTCTTCTTGGCAATAGTTGTTCCATCAGAAAAGCTGAGAAAAGTTATAGAAGTAAGAAAGAATGCCCACTTGGTCAAATTAACAAATACATTAAAATGTATTTATTTATTTGTATCCTGCTTTTATTATTTTTACAAATAACTCAGAGCGGCAAACATATCCAACACGTCTTCCTCTTCCGATTTTCCCCACAACAATCACCCTGTGAAGTGGGTTGGTCAGAAAGAGAATGACTGGCCCAAGATCATCCAACTGGCTTTCATGACTAAGACAGGACTTGAAGTCACGGTCTTCTTGCTTTCTATCCTGATGCCTTAAACAATTAGATCAGTCTGGCTCAAATTTACTTCTTTCTTCCTTGGTTAGAACCTTATTACTGAGTTACGAAGAGGACGTTATTTCTAAGCATTGGTCCCCACCCAAAGTATCCATTTTGTGTCCTAGCTTTCAAATTCTAAACTGGAAGACAGAAACAGAAAGATTGATACCAGTTTTTCTTAGCATTTCTCAGTCTGAGTTACTTCCTGCTTGGATTACTGTAGTGCACTCTACATGGGGCTGTCCTTGAAGACTACCTGGGAGTTACAACTGTTCCAGAATGTGGCGGTGCACACAGTGATGGGTGACCCAGATTCCCCATGTTATACCTTGGGGGCGTGCATAAGCGCACCATCGTGCCTACCGTCCCTGTCCTATTGTTTCTCTTATTCTTTTATTTTTCTTATATGTACCCATTTCATGTATTCACAACTATGTATACACTTATACTTATTAACTTGTAAACAATTGGCAAATCAAATAAATAATAAATAAATAAATAAATAAAATACCTCTGTTGGATGAGCTGCATTGGTTCCCAGTTTCCCTCTGGGTGCAATTTAAGAAGCTGGTTATTACTTTTAAAGCCATATATGACCCATGGCTTGGTTATTTTCAGGACTGCTTCTCCCTAAGGACATCTGCACACTCCTAATACTTCCCTTAAATGTTGCTATCTTATGGAATACATGAAAAGCAGGCCTTTTCTGTGACAGCCCCTATTCTATAAAATACCCTTCCTCTGAAATCCAGCTGGTCCCCATCCTTTTAACCATCCAAGCAGCATTCAAGACCTCCTTTCCCCCACCCCCTCAAGCACTGGGATAGGCCCCTATGACAACTCGCCGCAGCCAACTTGTTGCAGCCAACTCACTATGGCCAACTTGCCACAGAACAACTTGCTGTGGGACAAGAGTTACACTAATGCTGAAGAAATAGTGAAATAGAATTGTAAAAGAAAGGATGCCAAAGGAGGGATAAAACGAAATGTGAATGATAATTTTTAAAAAATATTTTAAAATTATTTTAAGTAATTCAATTGAATTGTTGAATTGTCCTGCAGTGACTTGACCATGGTGAGTTGGCCTGCAGTACAAGTTTCAAGTTGACCATGGCAACTTGGCTGCAGCAAGTTGTCCCATTCCGCTGGGATAGGGTGAGTTCAATTTAGATAGATTATTGGATTTTAGTATTTTTATTCTACGTAGCTGTGATTTTACCGATTGGTTACAAACCTGCCC